TGGAGACGGGTAGTCTGTTGACCTTTAAACATCTGGCATTTGACAATTTATTGAAATTCACTGTACACAAAATCTGCGGGTTTTTAGAAGGTGAATTATTGGGGATTCTTTAATGTTTTCTAAAATCTATTTTATGGCTAACTTACGAAGATGGGTAGAAGAACATTATTATTCACTTTACCATGTAACTAGTAGCAGCAGATCAATTTGCGTTTGGACTTCCATCTCGCAGCTAACTCCTTGCTTAAAATAGCATCTTCTTTTCCTATGTGGTAAAATCTCATAGCTACTGACTCGATGGTTTACACATGTGTTAAAAGTCTACTCAGAGATGCTGCAACGGCGTTTATCGGTGGCAAGTTCCACATTTCGAGCAATGGAACGTATCACAGCTGAAGAATATGCAGGACGAAGAAGGCGTCTTATAGAAAGCGTTAAAAAAGTTGCGGGACAGGCAGGTGCCACTTTCAAGTAACAACTGTTTTGATTCTCAATGTTGATGAAAAGAGCTGTTACAGATAGAGATGTGATTGTTCTTTTGAAAGGAGCGAAACGGCCATACATAGCTCCAGATGTGCCAGGACAATATAGGCAATGTAGTCACTTCAGGTTTGATGTATGGATCTTTTTTGGCGATTTCTGATATCAGTTAGCTTGCAGATACCTTACTGGTGTTACTGTTCCAAATAGCTACTATTTGATACATGCTCCAAAGGGAGGACGTAACTTGGAACCGGTACTATTCATGGACAGGAGAAGCCCATACGAAGAACTATGGGAAGGTGCGCTTCCGAGTGAATCGAAGCTCGAAGATACCGCTGGTTTTGTGGACTTACTGCCCACGAAAAAGATCACTGAGGTATTATCTGAGTTACGTTCTTTATTCTATATACCTGACGAAATAGCTAGTTGCAGGTAATTGCAAAAATGATTTCAAAGGATTCAACATGTTTTTTTGAAGCAAAGGAATGGGATGGTTCCGAAGTTTACAGTATGCGTGCTCAATTCGGAGCCATTCATGGAGTGAAATCTCACGTAAATCCCATGTCATTCTCTTTCTTTCCGGTTATGGAGATTATTTCTGTTTAGATTGATCAACTGCGTTTAGTAAAATCTATAGCAGAAGTGCAAGCTATGAAGGATACATGCAAGTTGGGATCAGAGGTAGTTTCGCATTCGTGAACTACTTGTACTCACAAACTAATTATAAAATCATATAGATGGTTTCATCAACAATTGCTGGATGTAGAGGTTTTGCAAGCGAGGCGGCCATCGTTGGTTTGCTGCAGTTTGAGGC